AGGTCATTTTTGAAACTCATTGAGTTTTTATAAATATAAAATTTTTTTTATATGTAAAGCACTTATAATAGTACATGAGGATGCATAGCAGCACTGAGTATTATTTATTATTTTATCATTTATTGTACTGAATTGTCATTATATGTTTACTTGTCTATCTCTCTCAAGAGATAATCTTAATGTTTGTACCTATGTGCCCAACAAATAGTACATACTGGCTAGATTTTGTTGAATGGATGAATTATAAATAGGGTTTCTCTGCTCAGGGTAAGGCACAGGACAGATGCCAATTTCAGCACCAACATTCTACTGTGTTAGACTTGAGTTCCTACCAAAGGGCCTCTCAAAGTTAGAACATGTTAATAGTAGTTGTCATAGGGCATTTCCCCAGAGAGCATAACGTACAAGGTCACTTCAGCACATTTATCTTTACATGTCTCCCTCCCCACTGCTTATTTCTTCTTCCCCTTGCCCTGAGCAGGAGCTCATGGAATAAAACCCCTCTCTAACGTTAGTCTCTGCCAAATCTTTTTTTGCTACAACTTTTGACTTTCAATCCCTAAAAGCTGAAGGTACATGACTTACTCCCAGTTTCTTAACAGACTCCATCTACATTCCTCCCTTCCCCCATATGATCTCATCTAGTTTAATGGCTTTAAATACCATGTTAGTGTTGAAGACTCCAAACCTGTTACTCCAGCCTTAACTCTTTACTGAGATCCAGACTTAAATTTCAATTGTCTGCTTCATGTCTCAACTTAGATACCTAACAGGCTTCTCAAGCTTAACATATCCAAAATAGTTTCTCCCACAAACATTTCCTCTTAGTCTTTCTCATCTAAGTGAATGACTCCATAAAATCCTCTTAGTTACTGAGATGAAATATTTAGGACTTATCCTTGATTTCTCTTTTTTAAAACTCCTGTATCATGCCAATCTTTTTGAATCTACGTTCAGAATACGCCAGCAACTTATCACTGCTCACCACCTCCAGTGTTTCCTCTTGAGAACAAGCACCATCTACTTGTACACGGCCTATTGCAGTAGCCTATCACTGCTCTCTTCCACACTTGCCTCTCCCAATTCTATTCTCTACACTAGCAGTCACCAACTGGTAGTCTGCAGACCACCGGTGGTCTGTGAAGTCTGAAAGATTGGCGACCGCTGCTCTACACAATAGCCCAAAGGATCTGTTTAAAAACACAGTAGATCACACTACTTCTGGTGGCTTTCAGTTACGTTAGGATAACATCCAAATTTCTTAACATGAACAACAAGACTTTCTTGACCTTGCCCCTTAAATAACACAATGTTCAAAGTTGAAATTTATATCAGGTACACAAATTTAATTTTATGAAATTTTAGAGTGAGTTGCCAGTTCATGATATGCAGGTTTCCAAAGGAAATAGATATAATAGATATGTTCCATACTCTTGAAATCCTTTGATAAAATAAAAGGGTTGAGACAATAAAAGAGAGAGGATGTCTGAGGAGTAAATATTTAGAAATAGCTGGGTATGAGTCCTCTTTTGTATTTGGCAGAGGAAGACTAGGAATGTCTTATCTCTCCTCAAACCTGGTGGTGGTCCAGAGCTTCCAAGGGGCCACCGCAAAGCTCACTGTGTTATTTCTTTAGCAGGGAGGCATAGTGGACCAGGGGCTTGTTTCTGCCTGAGGACTAAGAGAATGAGAGATAGACTGACTGGCTAACTCTGGAATGGAGTCAGGAAAATGTGGCTCCATTAGGACTTTGGGAGCAGAGGGTAACTATGAGAAGTTACAAGGTTAGGGAGCAGGGTTAGGGGGTCAGCTGTGAGTCACAGGGGAGAGAGCATGTGTGTGAGAGTGTCCTGAGATGTGACTAATAGGGCTGCCTACTAGAGCGTGGAAATTCCAGTAGCAGTAATTTGATGGTGAATGCCTAGGGGCTTATAAAGGAATCCTGAGGATCACTCAAAATAAACATGCCATCTCCCCATTGAAGGAAAGTTCAGGAAGAGTAGGCCCAGTGGAGACTGGGAACTTCCAGATCCCTGAAAAGGTCCCATGAGGGAGAGAATCAGTATAAACACATGCCAGGCCTACAGAGTACAAAGCCAGATTACTTTGGTTCTAGTCCAAGTGGGACCCTTCCTGCCCCTTTCCATTCTCCCTCTGTGTAGCCCACATCACAGGGGTTGAAGCTGCAGCCATCTAGTTATGTAATATTCATGTATTGTACAGCAATGTCCAACTTCTGGTTTGAGGATGTTTTGTGATTTGAAGTGATCTTGGGACAACCTGTTTGATAAGAGTAAAGGGAAAAGTCATGTGGTTTGCTGTAGTTCTTTATTTCTGGCAGGAAAAGATTCCCTGATAAATAAAGTTAAAAAGAATTGGTGAAAGAGAATAATATAAAATTGTGGTTTGTGATAATATGAATGTCTACTTATACATGGAAAAGCTCCATCTAGTTGTTCAGGCTTCTCAGGCCAGGTTAGCCCCTGAGAAAACCACTTTTCCCTTTCCCGCCATTGTCCAGCAATCCTACTCTTCTGTTTTCCTCAGAGCACCCATTATTATGTGCAAGTGTCTTGTTCTGTGTTTTCTTATTGTCTGTTACCTTCCATTGGACTGCAGGTTCCATAAAAGCAGGAACCCCACTTCTTTAGTTTGCTGCTGTCCCCAGTGACTAGAATAGGTGCCCTGTGTGTATACCGTATTTTTCGGACCATAAGACGCTCCGGACCATAAGACGCACCAGTTTTTAGAGAAGAGAAATGAAGAAAAAAAGATTCTGAAACAAATAGTGTCCTAACATATTTTATGTGCATTAAGACCCAACATCACAGTCATAAACACATGTAATCAACCCTGTAAACAGCAGCATTTAGAACCATTTTAGAGCCGGGCAAGCACACAGAGACCACACAGAGCCGGGCAAGTAAAAAAACTTTTTTTTAAAAGTATATATGTAGGCTATATTTGGACCATAAGACGCAGGGACTTTTTCCCCCCACTTCTGGGGGAAAAAAAGTGCGTCTTATGGTCCGAAAAATACGGTAAGTGCTCAATAAATATGTGTTGAGTGAATGAATGAATGTGAAAACTGTATAAGGAACAGATATCTTAAGTGCAAAAAATGCATTTTCACTCAATTACAATAGGTCCTCTCTTTTTATTGTGAATTATTTTTAGTACAATTATACATTCATGCTGTGGTGGTGATAACTTTTATATTTTTTGTATGACTAATTTTCTTAGCTGACTTTTTTTTATGACACACAAACATGAAAATGTTTTAAACAAATGTGGAATAAGGACAAATTTGATATATTAAACAGAAAACATTTGAGTATGGATTGACTTGAATCTGTTTTAATGTAGAAAAATATTTTTATTTAATTAATTAATTTATTTTTTATTGTTTAAAGTATTACATATGTCTCCTTTTCCCCCCATTGACCCCTCCCAGGCCATTCCCACCCCAGGACCAGCCCCCCCCGCCCCAGTGTCCACCTCCATTGGTTATGCTAATATGCAAGTTTTTGGTTGATTTCCTGTAGCCTCCTCCCCTTCCCCTGTTTCCCTCTGAAGTTTGATGGTTCATTCGGTGTTTCTCTTTCTCTGGATCTATTTTTGTTCATCAGTTTATGTTCATTATATTCCACAAATGAGGGAGATCATGTGATATTTATCTTTCTCTGACTGGTTTATTTAGCTTAGCACAGTGTTCTCCAGGTCCACCCTATTTTTATTTTTAACATGGTGTTATAGGGATCTCTTTTTTAAAATCATTTTTATTTATTGATTTTAGAGAGAGAGAAAGTGGGGTGGGGGGAGGTCAATTTGTTGTTCCACTTATTTATGCATTCATTGACTGATTCTTGTATGTGCCCTGACCAGAAATCTAACCCGCAACCTTGGCACATTGGAACGACGCCAACTAAGCTACCCAGTTAGGGCTGGGGTCTCTTTTTAATTTTAGTGTTGGAGGACAGTACTCACATATGCCTTGTAAGCTACACTATCTCAGTGTAATAGACTCTAAGTTGGCCCCTCATGTCCCCCACCCCTGGTATCCTCACCATTGTGTAACCCCTTCCTTTTGAGTGTCTTGCTTCTAGCCACTAGAATATAACAAAGGTGATAGGATATCACACCTGTGATAACATTTTGATATTTAAGACTCTCTCTAGAGACTCACTTTGCTGGCTTGAGCCTCCTTGTTGAAACAGCCCACTTGGCATAGACTTCAGGTAGCCAGTAGGACCCGAGATTGATCTTCAGCTGACATCCAACAAGAAGCAGATGCTCTCAGTTTCATAACCATCGGGAAATGGATTATCTCACTGGAAGTATAGAACTAGTTTAAAACATTGTCAATCATTTATACCTCAAGGGCAAAGAAGGATTTAAGAAGAGGTTTGCTACAAAGGTATCTGAACTTCAAGGGAGTGACTACTCCTAGGTAAGGATGGATGTGTAATGGAAGCTTGGCTAGATACAGACTTCTTTAGCTTCAGTATTTGCTTAGGTCTTGACCATTAGAATGTTTCTCTGGGCCCTGACTGGTTTAGCTCAGTGGATAGAATGTTTCTCTGTACTTCTTGCTTATATATTGAATATTTAATATCTTGAGAATGATCTGATGGGAAGGTATGTGTTTACAGGGCTCAAGGATGGCATAAGAAGGATGAAGCTCAGACACAGCACCCTGAGAAGCTCTCTACATTAATGTTAACCATGGCAGCATGTAGGCAAAACAAGAAAAACCAAATCAGGGGCAGTTGCTAGCATAATGGTAACTGAGCCTGGGAGAAATTTGCATTCTGTTGAGCCAAGTTCACCTTTCCTCCAAAGCATCTTCCTTTTAAGTGAGCTCTGGCTCAGATGCAGAGCCTGAGCATTCTTTTCGCATCTCCTAAGGAAAAATCAAAAGAGGGACTGTGAGTGGGGGTAGGAAGGAGGCCAAGGACCAAGGCGCAGGGGTAGTGACCAGAGGAGGGGCCAAAATGCAGCAAGCACTCACAGCCTCTTCATGCTGCTCTTTCTCCTGGGAATCCTGGCCAATGGCTTCATTGTGCTGGTGCTGAGCAGAGAATGGAGGCGGCTTGGGAGGCTGCTCCCTTCTGACATGATCCTCATTAGCTTGGGTGCCACCCGTTTCTGCCTGCAGTGGGTTGGAATAGTGCACAACTTTCTTTTACTACTTCTTTCACCTGGGGGAAATTCAGCAAGGATCCTGCATGGCAGCTCTTTGTTACTTGGCTCTGTCCTCATTTGCATGAAGATTGCTAACCTCACCCACCCTGCCTTCCTCTGGCTGAACGGGAGGTTCCCACGGTCAGTGCCCTGGCTTCTGCTGGGCCCTCTCCTGATCTCCACCATAGTCACCCTGTTCTTCTTTTGAAGAAACTACACTATGGATCAAGGTTTCTTTATTACAGAAGTTTATGAGAATATGACCTTCATAGGTAGATGTCTACTGGATCATGCTCTGGGCTCTTCCTTTGAAAGGAGAGAAGGAGAACAAAATCTGGATATACTCTGAGCATGATACCTCTCTTGGTACACCATTAAAATAGGGCCCCTTGGGTCTCAGAGAGCCAATATTGTCCAGAAGGTCAGAATACAAAATTTTGTGCAATTCTCTATGTTTGTATACTCTGTGTTAACTATACTATCTTATCTTGAAAGCTTAATGGGAAATTCAGGAAAAAAAAAAATGTCCCCAACTGAATTAGGATGTAGATGGGGAAGCAGCAACCTTTGTGAGGATAATGTCAAGGTTATTACTAAGGTACAGTTGTGATAGACAGTGGCTGGGCTGTGAGGTTTAAATGCCCTTCCTTTTGTGGTGATTATTTTCCTTGCACCAAGCTTGGGTAATTTGGTTTTAATTTTGTTAAAGTTGCTGGAAGATTTCTTTACACTACTCCGTCTCTTTTTTAATTGATATTTCCATTGTTCTGCCTTTGATTTTCTCCTCTCTGAAGTTTAAGTGGCAGCCAGACTTTTTCCAGGTTTATTTTCCCCCCTCAAGCAAATGTCACCAAGTCACATGTGAATAGAATAAACATGTACTTTGTTTTGAAAAACAGACATTCAAGAATTTCGCTTAGTTTGTGTCAAAAAACTATTGAACATCTTTTTTTAAAAAAAGTAAAATAATGGTTTTATTAAATCTTGTTTAAGTGTTTTAAAATAATTTGCTCCAATTACTATGCAATTATTTTTAGAAATAATTTTGAGAAAACTTTAATTAGAATTGGGTACCTCTAAGGCAGGTTTAAAAGATTTTGCTTAAAGTTTTCAATGTGCAAATTTCAGAGACCAACTGGCAACTGGATTCATGATAAGGAGAAATTTTAATCTCTTGGAGTGAAAATAATTTTCCTACCAATTAGAATGAATGTTGCTGAGTGGATGCATACTCATGAACTAGAATTTTGGGGGAACTTATTCATTTTTATTATAAACATTTATTTTTTAATAGGTGATACATTGATATGATTAAATATCCTAAATGTACTTAAAAAAATCTCCCTGCTGTCCTCTTCTGAGGCATTCTTACTAGTTTCAAATATGTATTTTTTAATTTTTCAATTACAGTTGACATTCAATTTTATATTAGTTTCAGGTGTACTCTTACCAGTTTTTTGTCTGTCCTTCTAGAGATATTTTATTTTATAGCAGAAATCCACTAAAGCAAATGAACAAAACAGTTAACTTATGGACATCCAGTAAGTAATTAACCAACTAACTTATTAGCTATGTTCTCCCTGTGTCTTTAAAATAATATTTTTAAATTTGCAAAAGGATATGTCTATTTTGAGAGAGAGGAAGGGGGTAAGAAAGGAAGGGAGGAAGGGAGGGAGAGAAGAAGGGAAGAGAAGGAATATGTGGAGGAGAAGGAGGAGAGAGAAAAGGATCAACGTGAGAGAAAAACATCGATCCATTGCCTCCCATATGTGCCTCAACCAGGGATTGAATCTGAAACCAAGGTATGTGCCCTGACTGAGAATCGAACCTGCAACTTTTTTGGTGTATGTTCCAACCAACTGAGTTACCCCACCAGGGCTCCTTGTGTCTTTTTATGTGAAAGGTTGTACAACATTTATGCTGTTTTTTTACTGCTATTTAGTGGTCATAAGTCCTAGAGGCCAATAGAAGGAGCCTGATCCTCTTGGCCCCCCCCGCCCCCCCTCCCATGGCTAGCAAGAAGAGCCAGGCTTCCCATTAGGTGAAGGAGATAGTCTTCTTCTCTGGGAGGGAGTGCACAGGATCTGGGGGACTACACAGGAGGTAGCAGATGCTCACCACCAAGTGGTTGCGGAGGAAGAAGTACATGGGCAGGTGCATTTGGGCATCCAGCCAGATCAGCAGGGTGATGAGCCAGCAGGGCAGCTGATAGGTAGCCCCTTACAGGACAAAAAGTCTAGTCTGTGTTTGGCTGCCACTGGAGAGATCCCGTAGGACAAGCTCACCCACCCAGGTCACACTGTCCCTCCTCTAGAACAGGTAGACCAGGCAGTTGTGGGAGACAATGGTTAGAGAGGCAAGAATCAGAGTTCATGGTCTGGGACTGAACAGAGGACTTTAAGGAGAAATGCAAGGATTTGTGTGTTTTCTCCATTAGACTCTGAGCTTCTTGAAATCAGGAATTTTGAATGATTTTTCTTTTTATGCAGATTCCTAACAAGTGTTTCACAATTAAACACTTTTGTTGGGAGCTTTAATAGAAAGAGTTTAAAGGTCCTGAGGATTATGTTTTGATTCCAAGATGTAGGACTGGAATTCTCTTCTCCTTATGACTCGGGCTGGTCTGTGACAGAGAAGATGGCTCACTTGGTTCTCAGCCTACTGATGAAGCAAGCTCAGTCCTAGGTTGATAAGATAAAGGCCTCATTGGAGAACATTATACCAACTGTAATTATGTTCCAACTCCATGCGATTATGCTATTTCCTTGGCGAAATGTTGGCATTTATTTGAATGTTAAAGTGAGTGATTAATAAAAGATGACTGGACACATCACTTACTTGTAGTGACAGCATCTGGAAACTGACTGTGCCCACAGATGACGTTAGTAAGGGAGTGCCTCTAAAACCCTGTGAGCTTTATTGTGTATAAATTCTTCTGTTATAGCAAAGACATGCTTGTCCTTGGAAAACCTCCCTGGTTACTTTCTTGGACTTTAGCCTCTATCCAAGGATAAATGTGCCATTTTTATTGTTAACATGAATGCACTAAGCAATTTTATGGTTTTCATTTTGTGTTTATTAATAACAAGTCCTTCTAGCCCCGTTTTAGTATGTGCCTCATGTGTCTTTGCAACATGGTGGGAGAAGGTTGCGCTGTTGTCTAGTAGGATAATAAAGAGGGACCACAGGGACATGGACAAGAATCCAACTATTGGAAAAGCCATTTGAATGCCCATTAGGGAAGCTTGAGAGGGAAGGAAAAACTCCAGATAACAGCATTCTGATGTGAAAATTCCACAGGATCCCCTGGTGCATCCCAGAGCAGTGCTTTCACATTGGTTACACATTTGAATCACCACATACTGGAGTAATTAAATTAGAATCTCAGATGGGTGGAACCCAGACATTAGTAACTGTTCATGTTTCCCAGCTAATTAAAATGTGAAGCTGGGATCATTGCTTTAGAGGGAATCTTGACCTTACTTCTGAAGATTCAATACATGGGTTTTGAGAGAGGAGTTTGTTTTGAAATAAGCCTAGAAGAGCTTTTGAAGAAGAAAGATATTTTGGGCTAAACTTCTTATTCTTTTTTAAAAAATATATATTTTATTGATTTTGTACAGAGAGGAAGGGAGAGAGACAGAGAGTTAGAAACATCGATGAGAGAGTCATCGATCAGCTGCCTCTTGCACACCCCCTACTGGGGATATGCCAGCAACCAAGGTACATGCCCTTGACCGGAATCGATCCTGGGACCCTTCAGTCCCCAAGCCGACGCTCTATCCATTGAGCCAAACCGGTCCCGGCAAAACTTCTTATTCTTTGTTTGTAAAAGTTGAAGCCAAAAGATGACTTTTCAAATACCACTATGAATCAGTGAAAATGTAATTCTAGATAGATATTGTGCCTTGATGTGTTGGGTCTGTCTTAGACTTAGCTTTCTGAGATCTGGTCCCCAAAGAGCATTTTAGAACACCTTACACCAAGGGAAGAACTAGTGAGTATCAAAGGAGTTGATGTGTGAGAAAGCTCTTCATAATTTTCAGAGCATTCTCTAAATGAAAAGGATTTGCGTTGAAGATATGAGAGATGGACTATAGAATCCAATGAAATAGAAATGAAAGAAATTCAACCCAAGTCTTTCTAACAGGGTCTGAAGATAGGGCTCATGATTGGATGGGTGAAGAGGGCAGAGCAGCTGGATACTTTCCTCTTTATATTCTGGATGGTTGGAAACTAACCTAATTCGGCTTCCAGTGCTTCTATGGCCAGAAGGTGTCACTGTAGAAAATGCTAAGAATAGAAAATGGCTTTGGTGCAATGCCCAGCAGCTGAGTTCCTGAGCCCTGTGCCTTTTCGCAGATCCTTCACTCCCTCCCCTTCTTTCCCCCTCTCCTCCTCCCTCCCCTCCCCCTTCTCTCTCCCTCCCTCTCCCCTTCCCCTCCCTCTCCCTTTTTCCCCTTTTTTGACAGCATAGTAAGTAATCAAGATTTAGTCCTCAAATTTGTCTCCTGAGTACTGAGAACAGCAACTGAAATGGAAGAGAATAAAATGCAAAATGAAGAAGAGGAAAAAAGCAGAACACAGCAGTGAAATTCTGCAATGTGGGGGAAGCAATTTGTTCAGTATTATAATCAGACACTTGAGACTAAGAAGTGTCCCCAGGTTCCTCTGTGTCATTCATAAAAGACTGGATTCAGTTACTTTTCACGTTTCTTCTAGGGTCCAGTCTAGGTTACTGCCTAGAAAGGATCCTCTCCTATCATTCTCATTGTGTCTGTCAGTACAGATGAGGTTTAAATCTCTTAAAATATTATCTGTTCAACACCTCTATGTGTCAGGGACTGCGGTAGCCATCAGATACCTTACTGTCAACAAGCAAGACAGAAGCACAAGTCCTTTTTTCTTGGTTCTTATAATGTAATCAGGAACACAGATTAAATTAATAATTAATAAAACTTAATTAAGTTACTTGTTCTAAGTGCTATGAAGGAGATGAACAAGTTTGCTAGATGGTTAATTAAATTTGCAGCTGTAATTAAATGACCAATGCAGTTATGCCTTCCTTCTTTAATAACACACAATTTATATGGTAAGTTGAAAGCATTTATTTAGATGTTTAAATAAATGATTAAAAAATGATGTAATAAGAGTATTTGAAAACCAATTATACTTAACATATTACTACTGAGTAGGAAGTGACTGAAATCCACTGAATTGTTTTCAGAGGCAGTGAATTCTCTTTTCTCAGCTAAGATTGCTCTGGGCTCACCCTCCCAACATGTCGACCAGCTCTCTATAAAAATAGAATTAAATGCCACAAGTCTTTATTAATACAAATGTAATCTCACGGCATATTTTCTGCTCTTAAAATAATTCATAAATTAACTCATTCATTAAAATTATATTATGTATATGAGGCACTATGCATTCAACCAGGTTCTAGGAAATGCCTCCTCTCTTTAAAAATGTGTTTTTTTAATTCTCACCTGAGGATATGTTCTTATTGATGAGAGAGAGAGAGAGAGAGAGAGAGAGAGAGAGAGAGAGAAACATTGATGTGAGAGAGAAACATTGATAGGTTGTCTCCCTTACGCACCCTGACAGGGGATCAAACCTGAAACCTGGGTATTTGTGCCTGACTAGGATGGAAGCTGCAACCTTTTGATGTATGGGATGATGCTCTAATCAGCTGAGTCCACCTGGCCAGGGCAGAAATGCTCCCTTCCAAAGTTAGGAATTTGTGTTTAGAAAATCAGCAGTGCCATAGAATCAAATAAGAAAATTAAAAAGAAAAGATCTTGGTAAAACCTGTGAGAATTAAATGAGAGCCAAACAGAGGACAAATAAATGCAACACATCAGTGCTAAGACCAGAGTGGAGCCATGGAATCAAATACAGTGGAACTGAAAAGCATAATCCAATGTAGATTTTTTTTTGGCTGGAAATAGTGGCCTGGGCTCCTACTGGTGGAGGGAGAGAGAGCAGAAAACCTGGATGGAGCAAGCATTTTGCCTTCTAAAGTAGGTTGGTTAGAGACTAGGTTCTAGGGCCAGAGCTCTGTAGCTGGTGAGAGGCTGGGGTTCTGAATATGGCCCAGGGACCCTATGGCTGCCCACAGAGCCTGGTCCTTGTATCAGCAGAGGAAGTAATTCAGTTCTGATTTACTGTGATCCAGAGGCGGCTACAGCATCCAGAAGCCTCACTTTCAGAGTCACTGTCATGGATCAAGAGCCCCCCCCCCCCCCCGAAGGGCTCTCATACTATATAAGGATATAAAAATATTATAAATAAAAAAAAATCATATAGGCCATGTTTACCATCTGTTTCATTGTATAGATGAGGAAACCAAGGACTTTTTCCAGTACATTTTGATGCTATTTTTAGATTATTATAAACTATTTTTATTAATAATTAGCCTTGCCCTTCAATTTTTGGGGGTAATTAGAGAGTTTCATTCCACATTACTTGACTTAGTGAACATTTACTGAGCACTGAATAGTGCCTGGTCCAGTGGCAGAAGCTGGGGTAACAGGGATCAGTTTAGCCTCATCTCCCTAACCAGGAACTCAGCCTGGCAGGAGGACAGAGACAATGGTTATGATCTTACCAGAGTTTTCAAAGGAAGCTCAAGTATTAAGTATGGCAACTGGAGACACAGAGTTGGAATATGTAAATAGCCAGGCAGATATATATAAAAAATAAGGTGCCCAGTTGGCGAAGGCCATTGGTTGAATGTTGACCTATGAACCAGAAGGTCATGTTTTGATTCCCAATCAGGGCATACACCAGGTTGCAGGCTTGATCCCCCAGTATTGGGTGTGCAGGAGGCAGCCAACCAATTATTCTCTCTTACCATTGATATTTCTTTCTCCCTTTCCCTTACTATCTGAAATCAATAAAAATATATTTAAAAAATAAAGTAAAAGTAAAGAAACACCCAGTCTATTTGCTTCTTGGAAAAAAGTATATTGAGGTTTAAGGTGTATGTAGATTGGAGACCTGGATTTCAATCTGAATCCATAAGCCACCTAGATATCATTATAAATCACTACCTTTTTGTGCCATATTTTCTTTGCCTGTACAAGGGGCAAGTTAGGCAAACACCAAGATTTTTTCTAGCTCTAAAGATATGCAGTAAATGAATACACACAAGCTGTGGTTTAAAGCACGACAAAAAGGGAAAAAAGAAATTATTTGGTCTTTGATCACTACGTAGTAGGACTAGAGGCAATAAAAAGGAGTTACTGGCTTTAGGAATCAAAGCATTCATCATCATACATAACTAACGAAGTAGGAAAGGGGTCATACAAATAGAAATAAGAGAAACTCTTTGTTCAAAGCTGGAAGACTTGTAGACTACAGGTACACACATGTGCTTCTTTCTAAAGGTGGTCCCAGATATTCCCCAGAGTGCGGTAATCCATAACACCAAGTTTTCCACCAGCTCAGGGGCCAAAACTGAGAAAAGGCAGGATTATGTCTATCTTTGGTTCTTTTTATTTTATTTTATTATTTTTTAAAATATATTTTATTGATTTTTTACAGAGAGGAAGGGAGAGAGATAGAGAGCCAGAAATGTTGATGAGAGAGAAACATCGACCAGCCGCCTCCTGCACATCCCCCACCGGGGATGTGCCTGCAGCCAACGTACATGCCCTTAACCGGAATCGAACCCAGGACCTTTCAGTCCACAGACCGACACTCTACCACTGAGCCAAACTGGTTTCGGCTCTCTGGTTCTTTTTGAAAAATATATTTTATTGTTTTTTTTACAGAGAGGAAGGGAGAGGGATTAGACTAGAGAGTTAGAAACATTGATGAGAGAGAAACATCAATCAGCTGCCTCCTGCACACTTCCTACTGGGGATGTGCCCGCAACCAAGGTACATGCCCTTGACCGGAATCGAACCCAGGACCCTTCACTTGTACCATGAGAGGTAAAACTAAACATTCTGTAGTGACACAAACTCTGGACTAGAACAGGATAATTGGTGTTTGTTCTAGCTTTGGTATAAATAGCTCCATGACTTTGAGCATGTCATTTAATCTTTCTGGGTCTCAGTTTTCTCATCTGTAAAATGTTGCTACATCAACATTTCTGGCTCTCTATCTCTCTCCCTTCCTCTCTGTAAAAAATCAATAAAATATATTTAAAAAAATAATAAAATAAAATAAAAAGAACCAATATTTGATTAGAACTTTAAGGATCCCCAGTGTGGCCATTATATCAATAGTATTCTCCCTTCACCCTAAGGTCTAAGACTAGAGTTGGAGCATTGTGGGTTCCAGTCTGTGGCCTTGAGTACATTGGAGTGATTTTCTCCTTTGAGTCTGATCCACACCAGGAGTTGCATTGACAGAACCAATATTTTATACCCTGGATCCCTGGCTCTTGGAGAGAGCTCACTTCCTATAATGACTGTGCAATCTCAGACCTGCTTCTTGCCTGGGTCTTTTTTTCTTCACCCCTTTGAAATTACCCCATTACTACTCACTTCCCCACCCTCTCCTTCTCTGCCCACATATCTCCTTGCCACAAGACTTTTCTCTTACTAAGAATAGTTTAGTTTGGTTCCAGTGAACTGCTACATCTGGTTCTTAGTTAGGCACCTAGCCCTTTCAGTTCTTTCCACTGGAAAAAAAAAATAGTGTTTCCTTACCTTTTCCCACTGAAATGTCAAGAGGCACCATGTTGGAAGCAGGTTATGTAGTCTGATGACTGCTGTATTTGAGGGCAGCTTCAACAGCTTCATCACCAATAAGCTCTGTCATGGGAGGATCAGACACTGCTATGCTTCCTACCTTTACACTCTAGGAAACATTTAAAATGATATATCTGTGCTTTGTCTTCTCTATATGACTTGGGGGAAACCATTTACTAGTAAGTGGTGGTAGTGGGGATGAGAATATTATTTATTTAATGAGTACTAAATGCTTTAGAAAAATCATCTCCTTGAAGCTTGACATAACTTCCTTATTATATATTAACAAGTAGAGTACAGCTTATATCTGTACTTAAAAAAACCTGCCATCACCTTGACCTTAACCCACTAGAATGGATTTTGGACTTCTGACCTGCAACACTTCATGAGAATGAATGTGTATTATTTTCAGCCACTAAATCTGCGGTAATCTGTTACAGCAGCAACAAAATACTAATGCAGCTTCTAATCTCTTCCCTTAATCTCCATCCCCTGGTCCCCCTGGAATTACTTCACAATTAATGATACTTCTGCTTTCTTCTCCATAACTTGCCTTGTGTTCTTGCCTCTGACCTTCTTTTCCCTCTCTATCTCTGTCTCTCAGCCTGTTGACTTTTTCTGAAATTGCCTGATCATCAGCTGTCCCAGTAGATAGTACAAATGAGAAACCTTGCCTTTCCTTTGCTGGCCTTGAGTTGCATTGAGCTCAATGGATTGAAGGAGGCAGGGCTAGATTACACGTCACACAGCAAGCCTTCCCTAAGTGTCTTTCATCTGCCCCTGAAATCTTTTTCTCATTACAGCTGCCTCTTTTCCCATAACTGAGATTTTCAGTCAGATGCCCATGCATGATTTTGTTTCAGGAAAGGGTGATGTGAAGAAGTAAAGCATCTTATGTAATGAAGGAGGTGATGGAAACAGCTAGGTTCTCAGGGCAGAGGGTCTGGTATTTGACCCCAAGTATGATACATGCCCTGTCCCTAACAGCAGAGGCGTGGCTTCCCTGCCTCCACGACCAACACTACAGCCTTCTTAGAGATTCTGTAGGTTTCTAAATATTTCTCATAAATGACTTTTCTGCTTCTTTTACTGGAATAGATAGTTATTATTATTTAAAAAAAAAAAAACAAAACAAAACACAATCAAAACACTGACTGTTATGCCTTGTGATCTCAACTTCAGCTCCCAAGCCAGTTCTTAGCCTTTCCAGACCTTCATTCCATTGGCTTCCCCATCTCAGAACTCCCTTATAAAATAGGAAAGAGAGACAGAAATCAGCCCAGCAAACCAATATCTGCCACCATCTTGGCATCCTCAGCTCATCTGGGAACAAGAAGAACAAGAGCAAAGACACAAGGAGTGGCTGGGGCCTGACAGCCATGGCATGGTCTCTGGCTAGACAATAGTTCAGGATGTAGGCTGTGTTGTTCGGCTGCCAGATCTTTGCACATGCTTTGCTAAGGTTCATAAGGTGGATTTTGTGCTCTTTAGCTTGGATTAGACATCTCTGACATCATCTATGGCACCAGTATCATATTATTCTAGAAGTAGTAGTATAATTTGGCACTGTTGATCAATCCATCCTTTTCTTGGTTTCCTTGATGCCACACAGTCTTGAATTTTCTCCTATTTTTCTGATTGCTCCTAAAACAACAACAATAAACTCCTCTGTGTATTCTTCTTCCTCTCCTTAGCTTTTATTTTTATTTTATAAGCATTTACTGAATAAGTAATGCACATATGTATATTAGGGAAGTATTCAATGAAAAGTAAAAGTCTGTCCCACCTCTGTCCTTCAGTTCATCAGACTCTTAGTGTGTGAGTGTGTGTGTGTGTAAACCATATAGGGCATATACAAACACACACAGCATGCACACACATATTCTATTTTCTTTTAAATACAAAAATGCTATCATACCAGAACATTCACTGTGGAGCTCAGTAGATTAAAGGAGGCAGGGCTAGATCACACATCACACAGCAAGCCTTCCCTAAGTGTCTTTCATCTGCCCCTGAAATCCCTTCTCCCATTACAGCTGCCTCTTTCCCCATAACGGAGATTCTCAGTCACTGTTTCATTCAACATTGAGCAGCAGCTACATACCAGACACTGTTCAGGAACAGGGAATGAAGTAGGCACATTTCACAGAATTTATATTCTAGTAGGAGGAGCAGGCAATTAAAACATTACAAAATGTCAGATAATTTCTAATAATGACAGATGCTTAAAAATTAAAGCATGCTGATGTCAGAGAGAGTAGAGAGGTGATATTATATAGTGACCAGTGCAGGTCTCTATTCTATGAGGAGTTGATATTTGAGTTGAGGCAGCATCTGGATGACAAGGAGCCAGCCTGTGAAGATCTGAGGGAGGAGCCTTCCAGGAGTGGAAATAGAAATGACAAGGCCAGAATTAGGGGTGACTCCTTAATACATACTATTGTGCCGCTTGCTTTTTCACTTAACAACTTGTATGAGAGATGGTTTCATGTATGCCACATATCAGTCTTTTTCTCCTCTTCCTCCTCCCCTTTCTTACTCTTTTTTCTCCTCCCCCTTCTCCTTTTCCTCCTCCTTCTCCTCCTCCACCCTTTCCCTTTCTCCTCCTTCTTGGCAGCTGCATAGGATTCCATTATAGGGATAAACCATAATTTATTTAGTCACATGCTGGTATTTAAACAATTTGTAATCTTACTGATTCACACAGTGCTTCATGAACATTTTTGTACATACATACTTGCCCTGTCTGCGAGTTCTTTGCAGCCATGCATTTTGCTTCCCACATCATTGTAAGCCCACCACTGTGCAGGCCCCAGGGTTGGGAAGGAATCAGCACATGCTTGTGAAAGCACTAGAGGCAGGTCTCAGGTGCCATACCACACTGTCTCTGGCTCCAGGGAGGGGTGGAGGATGGAGCAACTGCTGGCACGCTCTCTTTATGTGGACATACTTCCTGGTTCTTTCCTGAGTCCGGTCTTTGAGTCCCCCTGCAGGCATTCCTGATGATATTTCCTATAGGTGAAACTTTAGGGAGTAGAGCTTCCTACTGTGGTCTGGCCCCTGCCTACTGTCATGGTTCATACAGATTGACCCTGTGGTTGGCCCAGCTGCCATCGCCCCAGCACCCTGCGGATGGCGACCATGACCTCACAGTTGCGCAGGCTGTAGATGAATGGATAGAGCAGCGGTGTGACATTGGTGTAGATGAGCGCCAGTGTGCGGTCCCGCTGTGGGGAGTAGCTGGCCTTAGGCCGCACATACATAAAGGTGGCACAGCCATAATGCAGAAAGGTGACAGCCAGGTGTGAGCCACAGGTAGAGGCAGCCTTGCGCCGGCCCCCAGGGGAGTGCTGGTGGTGCAGGGCGGTGGCGATGGCGCCATAGGAAGCCAAGATGAGTACCAAGGGCAGTAGCAGCAGCACCAGGCAGGCACCCAGCAGGGGCAGCTCATCCATGTAGCTCTGCGTGCAGGCCAGGTGCAACAGCGCTGTGATGTCGCAGAAGAAATGCACCAGCAGGTGGGAGCCACAGAAAGGCAGGTGGAAGACCGCCACCGTGAGCCCCACAGACACTGTCAGTCCCCCAAGGCAACAGGCCAGGGCCAGTCGCGCACACAGCCCTGGGGTCACCACTGCCGCATAACGCAGAGGGTGGCAGATGGCCATGTAGCGGTCATAGGCCATGGCGGCCAGCAGGAAGCACTCGGCCCCACCCAGTGCCACAAACATCTGCATCTGAACAGCGCAGCCCAGGAAAGAGATGGGGCAGCCCCTGCCAAGGCCAAGGCAGGGTGCAGCCAGGTCAGCCAGGGAGCGGGGCACCACCACCAGCGTGTAGCAAAGCTCAATGGCTGACAGCTGGCATAGGAAAAGCAGCATGGGTGGCCGGCTGGGCATGCAGGTCACTGCCACCAGGATGAGCAGGTTCCCACTCAGGGTGACCAGGTGCACAGCCAGTAGCAGCAGGAAGAGCACAGGCCTCAGGTGTGGAAACTCAGAGAAGCCCTGAAGGAGAAAACCCCGGGGCATGGTAGCATTGCTGGGGCTGTCCATGTGGGCCGCTCAGAGATGCCTGTGGGAGAGAAATGAGGGAAAGGCAAGCTGTGAGGTGCCACCCTTCCTGCCTTGCTGGTGGAGAAAGGGCCAGTAGTTAGAGGGTGGAAGGGAGTAGTGGATATAGAGAGTGGTGGTAGGTACATGGTACACTCCCAGCCCCTCCCCATGAGAATGTCTTGTTAACTGGTTCAGAAACATGGTGCAGGCCTTCCTGCCTCTTGGACTAGATTCTTACAGTTGCTTTCTCAACATGCTCTTTCCAAGGAAGCCTCTTTCCTTACAATGCATCACTCATGACCTCCACCTACAAAGAATTTCTGAGGGGCCTAGCCTGAGCTCCCCAAGGCATGAAATGTGTCATCAATCTCTGCCTCTGTTTCCGCCTTCCTGTTATGTCTAGTCCCTTCTGAGCATCTTTCTGTATGTGTCACAGAATTACAGAAACATAAAGCAGATGAAGACCTTTGAGCTCATGTTCTACAACCTCATAATTGTAAAGAGAAAAATGAGGCTGGGGATGGTAGTAGTGAAGAGCTTAACTGCTCATAGAAAATTATGAATAGAATCTGCATTCCTGAGACTGAATCCAGAACTTCCCCTAACTCCAAATGGAGCTGTAAAAAAAGTCACTTCAGTCAATCCGCAGTAATTTAGTCTTAAACGGAGACGCAAGTGTGTGACAGGCATTGAGGCAGACACATGGGGAGCAGGGCAAGTTAGCCGGAGGGCCTGGCTGGGCACATTGGGAACAGTGTGTCCCTAACATTTTCATTGGAAGTGATGTGTATCTGTTCGAACTCGCCTTTCTGAGTGAGTAGTAGTACATTTCAAATTTGCCAACTGAACACAGTTTCCTCTTAAGCATTATTGCTGACTCATTTGCAGGCAACATTTGGAAAACATTGATAGTCTACTATAGGTCGACTGTGCTTTTTATAAAACCTAGTGTGGGGGAACATGGGGTGGTAAGAAATTCAAGGCCATGCAAACAAGAGGAGGATGCTTGATTTTTCCAATAGTTATTTATAATATCTCTTATTTCCTTATCTCTTTTATTAATTTCAGTTGTAAGCTCAACTATTATTTCTTCTCAGTGACTTTGAGTCACGGTTTATAACCAATGTTGGAAGTGGAATTTGTGCATAGCTTTTATACCATAGAAGTGCAATAGCAATAAAGCTGGGTTAAGGGCATGGTCAGATGAAAGAGCTGGAAGGAACGCAGAGGGCTTGGGCTTTGCTAGCTAGTGCTCCTTTTGGAGAAGAGAATTCTGAAGAATTATCAATGTCAACCTGTGCTTTTTCTTGTCTTCTGGGAGGAATGTCTTCAAACAGATGTTTGTTGTGGAGGATAAGTAAAATGGGGTTTTGGGTGG